CCGAGCGATTCTGTGATTCTGTGATTCATGCATTTTGGCTTGGTATGTACTGGGCCATTTGTTTTGACTTTGTCCTTTTTTTGTGGGTTGAAAGTGTTTTCAGAATGACAGCTGAGCTATTTGTTGTTCAGGCAATGCAGCTTTCTTTCAAAGGAGATACTGTCTGAATCACTTTTAAATCTTATGTTACAGTTTGGTGTATTTGCAACTTTTATTTTCCAGCCACTGAGACACTGGCAGATCGGACATCAAGAGATTATCTTCTTGGTACAGTCACGATTCCAACCAGAGACCTGTTGAGAAGAAGATCAGGTAATACCGGGTAAATGCTGTAGTAATTGCTTAAAACAATTTTCATTCCCATTTAGGGGGTTTTGTTTGGTTTGGTTGGGGTTTTTTTTAGACCAAAGTTATCTCTGATGATGCACATGTCTGTTAAAAATCCTGCATTAGAAAACTCGTATAAGTGTTGTTGTTTGAAGGTGTTTTCACAGTGTAGGATGTATAGTAGCTGAATGAATATTAACCTTAGTATTTTATTCAGTGCCATTTATTTTCTGCCTTAAGATGTCAAGTCCAAGAGTTGTAGAGTTCAGTGGATGACCAATGATTGCGTTTGAGATGTCAAAGCTGGGAACAAAGGCTTAGATAGGTTAGAAAGCAGTTGGATTAACTTTTCTTAAACTAAATGTAAAATATCTCCTCTATCTAGTGTTAGTTTTTAATGATTATGCCTTGTAATAATAACGTTTTTGTTACCATCTTTGTTATTTCTGCTTTAATCTCAATATAGTGCTTGTTTTCTCCAGTGTAATGGTTTGGGTTTGATTTTTTTTTTTAATGGGAAGAGAGGAGGAAAAAACTGAGAATGCCTAATTTTATGATTGAAGATTCATGGGATGTAGTTTTGTTCTAAAATTAATGTCATTAATTAGATGGAAAGTAAAATGCCTTTGGGATCAGCACTGCCGATGAGGTTTTCTGAGGGAGGTCTAACAAGTTGCTGCTTTTTCAGATTAGAAATCATTTGACAAATTCCAAACTTTCACAAGAAATAAACACTTCGAGTGCTGGTCCTTGACTAATGGCCAAGGAGCAGAAAATTCTTTACTGTTGCTTTTAAAAGGGAGAAGTCTAACTATGATCTCTTCTGAAGGTATCACAGGCTGGTACCCAGTTACCCTATCTGAAGATTTAATGCCTTCGGACTGCACAAATGTCCTGCAGGCCATTGTGGGAGGACTGGAAGTTTCTGTTACCTTTGCTCATCAGGATGACAGAGAGCGTGTTTTGGAGGCTGCTAAGCTCTTAGGATGGAACAGTGAGGAGAGCCATGAAGACGACATGGATGACAGCAATGGATGGGAGCAGAGCGCCAAGCCTGTGACCGCGACCATCTCAACCCCAAGAGTATGGCTGCCAGTCCACTGTGTGCTGCTTGCAGGCCAGACTCACCTAAATAAAAGCACTTATTGCTACCTCAGATATAAGCTATATAATCAGGAAGCCACGTGGACTTTGCTTCGGAGGCCAGAGTTGAGTGACGACGCACGGAACGTTACAGTGAACTTTAAGAAACCAAACAAGGTGACTCTCAGAAGGAGCCAAGGACTGCTTTGGTTCTTCAGAGAGGAGAAATTAGAAATCCAGGTGTGGTGGGCGTATGGTAAAGAAAATGATGTGGAAAGACCACTTGATACAGATCGTCTGATTGGGTCTGCCTATGTTGACCTCACAGCATTAGCAGAGAGGTCAAGGACCACACTAAGTGTTAGTGGTAAGTTTCTAAAGAACATCGTCATGTTTCATTCTTCTTTAGTGATGTTTTAATTTGGTTACTTCACTAGTCACTTCAAGCAAAATATTTACAACTTTGTTGTGTCCTGTATGCGACACACACTTAACTCCTCCTTTCACTGCAGATAAACAAGGTTGAAGTGCTTGCTTCTCTGAATTCAAAACAGCAATTTTAAATGGATGAATAATTGGCAATATTTATCACTAATGGGGAGAGCAATTAGCCTACATGGAGTGATGGAGAATGTTTCTTTAGAATTAAGGATTGGGCATCATGATAGAGTGAGAAGCAGTAAGAGTAATGTCTCTCAAGGAGGCTGAATGCCTGCAGTCAGAGCAAATAACTCAGCACTGGGAACATTGTGGAAACTTCTGCTCCATTTGATTATGGAGGCTTCTGTGATCTACGTGGTATCCACCAGCCATCAGCTTGCATGTAGATGTGTGGACAGGTCATTGGCTCTTCTTTTGAGTGTGCTCAGGGAAGGAAGAAGGAACAAGAGTTAAAGCAAATCTTTATGCTGTATATATGTTGTATTTTCCATTTATGTATATAAAATTATTCGGAGCCACTATTCCCAGTAAAAGGAAGGTGTATCCAATTTTAGGAAGTGGTCACCCTTTTTTAACCTTTACAAGCTGATACTTCTACCAGCATGCTGGGTGATACCTAGCATAGAAATTACATCAAAAATCAAAATTCATTCTGCTGGTCTGATGTGAGATCTTTACTGTAATGAACTGTACCAGCTCTTTCTCAGGATCCTACTTTTTCTTTGGCTTGTTGAGCTGGTTGGTTGTGACTTCTCTTCCAGGGGTTTATCCATTGTTCAGATGCAACGCGGCAAACCTAGCAGGAGCTGCTGTACGCGTTCACGTCATCCTTTCTTCCACTTCTGCTGCTCTGCCCAGCAGACTTCACTATGCTGAAGAATACAGCAACAGTGAAGATGAAGGCATGGAGAAAGCCCCTGATCTGAGCCCACAGCTCTCTGAAAATCAGAGTCAGAAAGTGGATGTCGTACGTTCAGAAATCACCAGCAGCAAACCACAAGAAGAAGACACGATACTTCTGGAACAGACAGTTGCTGTCAATATCCTTGTGGAAAGAGCAATGCATCTGAGTTTAAAAGGTAACATCACCACTAGTCCCCCCCCCTTTTTTTTCTTTTTTCTTTTATTGTTTTCTGTTCATAACAGAAACTGCATGGAGGAATTTAAAAACAAATCCTCAAACTTACTGCAGCACAGTGAATGGATGCAATGGATTTTGAACTTGGCTTTGTAGTGTTGCGACCCCAAGAGCATTGCATCGTTGTATAAGTACAGGGGAAGCAGGAGTTTAAACTGTTCAGCCTATCTATATTAATAAAATCCAAAATATAAATAATATGTTCGCTGTTACAGATGGCAGCTGAATCCTGAAGTTAAGCATTATCTGAATAACTTAACCCCAAGACACTCATATCTCAAAGACTCTTGCAAATTTGCATTTTTAGCATATAATCAATTTGTAAAGCTGGCTTTACACGTGCTATCTGGAGACTGCCAGGCGCAGCAGTGAGGAAGGGCAATGGAAGGGCAGAGCAGTCTGAGCTCGCCCAGCCTTGACATGCTGCTTCCCTCTCTGCAGAGTGGGAGTTACAGTTCGGTGGCTTGTCGCTGTGCTGAGGTTCACCAAAGAACTGCTCTTTGCTTTTAAATTGACGCTAAGTGTATTAAAATATTCCTTCCTAGCAGCGTATGTTTGGTTCTCATTGTGCAGCAATGTAACACACTTGGGGAATTTGCAGGTTTTTGGAGCCTGTTGGTTTTTTTCCTCAAGTTGCAGGCTGTAAATTAATCTCCTTGTTAAGAGTTAAACCTTTAAAACACATCAGGTGCCACCTCTGGTACTGCATGACTTGATCATTTTGTGTTTGCTCAGCATTTGGAGTGATCTGATCTTGTTTGCGCTATTGCACACTTCCTAAATACAAACATGAATAAGGAATTGACCTGAGATGAGTTTACTGGAAAGGTCTCTGTTAAGATCAACTGTTTCATGGTCCAGCTGATATGCCAGAAAGGAACACTCAGCGTTTTACGGCATAATAACACAACTAAGAGTCAAATATAAGCCATGATTTAAGTGTAAGTAGTTCTGATACATACTGAGCCCAACAGATGCTTTTTTATAAACTATGATTCTGTAATCGTCTGGAATTCATAGTCTTTGGAAACATGGTGCAACTTTGTTTGCTACAGTTCGATGGGATAGAGGAGGTTTCTTTTGACGGTGCACACTGTTGCAATATTTCCATCTTCAAACAGCTTCTCTTTTTAGAGGATTTTTAGACGTAACTAACTGAGAAACAAGTGATATGCTGAAACAAATGCCATACAAGCTGGTTTTTCATTTTCATTCTTCATGTTAACAGTTTCATTATTGTGTTACAGATAAAGAGGCTGGAATACATTTCCAGTCCAATATGTTATGGATGATAAACTTCCTGCAATTTTGGAAGAATTACTTAAGATACATGATTTTCAGAAACTGAGTGAAGATACAAAATGTTTCCCCAAGTTTCTCATGTTCTAAACTCAATTTTCCTGCTTTCTTTTTCTTCATCTTCCAAATAATACAAAGAAAAAAAACCAAACCTAAATTTCATAATGTTGGAAAGGAATGGAATTAATTCTATAAAAATGCAGAAGTTCAAACCAACAAGTCTCCTCTCTAATTTAGTTCTAACTGTTTTGAGCACTGTTTCGAACAATATTAGAACAGAATTTTCCATGCATCTTTTAAGGACTGAAGTCACCTTAATGGGCAGTTGCTAACCTCTTCCTGCCACATTTTTCATCTTTTTCTGTACGGTTTTTCCATCCTCAGGGAATAGATGTCTGTTCATTTTCTTCTCTCTGTGGTGGTCTTTTTTAAAGTTAAGCCTCACTACTAGTGAAGGGCTGCTGGACTGGCAGGTGCAGAGCCTGGGATTCGATCCCCAGGGAGCAGCTACAAAATAGAAGCATAGGTGTGCAAGCTTCTCCATGGACCTCGCTGTGATGTAGGTCTGTGTATTCATCAGTGGAAGATCAGCCCTAGAAAAAGGGAAGGAGTTTCCCTTCCCACTACTGGCTTCTCTGCCAGGGTGCTCCTTACAGAGACTTTTGTCACATGGACAACTTTCCTTTCAGAATAATGTAGAGAAAATATTTCTAGCAATGCTTCAGCCATGTGGCAGCTATCAGTCTGTTATGCTGCCAGTCTGGACCGTGTCATGCAGGAGGTGCCCTAAGCTTAAAACTCTTCTGTTTTAGCACCTGAAACATCAGGTCACCCACTTCAATTCCTTCTCTCACCTCATCCTTCAAATACTACTTTCAAAAGCAGAATAAAACTAACGTTTCGAAGTGTTACTTCTTTGCAAAGTTCAGGCACTGGGAGCTGCCAGGCTAAATTGGGCTCTGTAAGACTCCTTTGATTATGACTGAGCTTTCTTATTAGAGCCAACAATTATTTCTATTATAGGCATTTCTTTTCCTAGAAGAAAAGCAAGCTACCACTTGAGAAATGCTGGTTTTGCCTTTGACTACAAAGGTCACTGCAAATTTTAGGTCTGCCTTTACAGGCAGGAGGTGAGCTAACCTGGACAGGTCTTGCTTTATTTCTCTAAGCTGAGCTCGCATTCCCACGTCTGTGTTTGATTTGGCATTATCAAACTGCAAAGGATTTTGTGTGGCATGTTTTAACTGAAGTCATTGTGGATATTGAAAAATAATAAAATCTTGTTCTCAAGCAAATCCTAATGATCAAGGCATAAATGAGCAGTAACTCAGTAAGCTACTGTAAATCAGTCACATTTCATCATGTTTTCACAGAGAATCAGACTTCAGGAGAAAAGGCAATTATTTTTAGTTAAATCAGATTCATACTCATCAGTTTTGTTCATTGGAAAAGTCGAAAGCCACATGCTGAGTCCTTGGAAAGCAGAAAGAAGGAAATGGTCTGTAATGACTGAGTGATAGTTGGTTGCAAAGACTGATCTTGTTTCCCTTGGCTAAGCCCATTTCTCCTAGCAGATTTTGCCAGCTACAAATTCACCATCTGAACAGCTCCATAAGCAGTAAAGTGCTACTACAGCTTTACAAGCCATGATACACTGCAGCAAATTAATCTCACTTAATGTGAATGTGACTGAGAGGGTCCAAGCTTAAAGGAAGGGTCACATACAGAAGGGAAGAGTCCTTAAACATTTCCCCTCCTTTTTGAGCTATAATTCAAGGCAGGTGATTGTATAATTTCTGCAGCTTTCATTCAACAGTCTACTCCATAATATTCTGCGGCATCTGGGGAACATTTAGCTCCATCCTTTATTTTGATCTCCATTCCTCTGATGAGAAACTCTCTGCCTCAGAGTGCAAACATACCCAATTAAGTCAGACTAGTTAATTTGTTACCTGTTTTCTCACAGACCTTTTCCCAGTTTATTTCAGGATGAATTAGGAAGAAAATGCTTACGGTTCCAGCCCTGAACTATTTTTATTCGAGGAGTGTTGTAGTGAAGACCATCGTAGTTGCTTAGCTTGGTGATCACAAAGGTCTAGTTTGCGCATCAATTAAAAGCAAGTATTTCCTGAAGCTACTTAAAAACAATTTAAGCGAAGACTACGTGCTGCCTCATGTAGAGCTCCCTGGACTAGGACATGAAGGCAATAGATTTTTCCTTCCCTAACTCTGATACAAACTTTGATGTTTTGGCCAAATCTCATCTATACTTGCCTTCTCCCAAATCTGCTGGTGCAGGAGCAGGGCTGGTGGAAGGAGCACATGTGCACTCAGTAGTTTTACTTTCCATATGCTCTGTCCCTGCTCAAAGCATATACCATGGAAAAAATTATAGGGAGCTGTGACAATTGATCTGTAACACAAATTCCCACTTCTGCAATGGGTATAAGGGTGGTGGGAAATGTTGGGAGGGAATTCAGCAAGAATTTAAAATAAAATTCTGATACTGTTTTTTCCTCTGTATTTAAGCCTTCATAACAGATGGGAGTGTTAGTTGTTTCTGCTTTGCACAGACATTAAGTTTCTCAAACTATTTCTGTCCTTTGAAAAAGATCAACTAATAGAGGCTATAAAAATCGTTTGTTAATCCTTGGATATTGTTAACACCAGGCATTTTTCTTATATAGTCAACACAAGTGAGCTTCCTCTCAGCTTTTAAGTAAAACTGCTTTTGTAACACTGGATATTTTCTGTGTTTGCAGCTAGGGTTGCCAAATTCTGTGGTCCAGCATGGAAGGTGGATCAAGCACTGGAATAGGGCCCTGAGGACCTGGGTTTTATTTCTAGCTTTGCCTCTGATATCTCAGATTATCTTGGGAAATGTTTTTTCCCATTTCTCCCTTGAATGTTCCAGTTTCTGCTTTGCTAAAAGTTCATGTAATCTTTGCTCCCATTGTAAATATAATGTATTTTCAGCTCCACCAATGAAAAGGAGTGTTTCTTAGATGGTGGATTTCTTTGTTAATTATCTGGTTTTAATTGCTGAACTGCCATTAGATTTTTTAAATTATTATTGTTAATGAAAAATCTGTATTTAATTCTGTGTAATTTTAGGGAGTCCTTTGACAGAACGTGAAGTAACAGCTCCCAGTAGCTGCGTATCATTTGCTGTTGCTGGTGCAGATGCTCCAATAACCACTTCAGTAGTAGAAAATACAGACTCACCGGTCTGGGACTTTCAGCAACAAGCAAGGTAAGTGACATGTGCTCACAAAAACATGCTTTGGATCTGGCAGCCAGACTCAGTGTGAAAAGGACTTACCCAGTTGGGAAGAAGGTGCTTCTCTACTCTACTCTCTGCTAAAAATGCTTGTTTCCCTGTTTTACAATCACCACACTCATACATTAGGTGAAAAGTTGTTTGAGGAGGCTTGGTCTCAAAGCTACCGTGAGGAAGGGCAGTTTGACCTGCGCTAAAGCTTGGCTGTGTTGTCTTTTGGCTTAAGAGCCTGGGTGAGCCAGTCTGTTTCCACCCATCTGCAGTTTCCCCATCTAGAGCAAAGGGCTGCTTATTCCTGTCACTGTATTACTGAGTCATGAGATAAAGTGTATTTCCATTTCTTCATGGTTTTGTTATCCTATCTTTTAAATTTACAACAAGAGTGAGGAGAGGGAAATACTTCTTGAATAAGCAAAAGCCCAAACTTTGTCAAGATAGTTATGCTATTGAGGGCTCAATAATTTTGGGGTTTATTCTGTTCCCTCCCATCATTCCAGAAAGAAGCTGATTTATCTGGATAGATACAATGGCATTGAAACTTCAGAGACATTTTATTGTGCTTATTCTTGTTCCTACTTTGCATAACATGAATATTTTTGTTCTCAACAGATTATCCAAAGAGCTTCTGCTGGATCCACAGCAAACCTTGGTCTTCAAAGTGTGGCATAAAGCAGGTAAAGTCTGTCGTGCAGTATTGAGAGGAGTGTCTTTTCTACATCCCTTTCCTTGAGCGGCTGGTATTTAATACAAGTAAGGTAAATTGTATTAAGTGAAGAGTAGAACCGTAAATACATTTTTTACCTTATGCTAGAAGAATGCTAGAGATAAATGCCCATTGATTTCTTGCCCCTTAGCATACTCCTTTTCCCCACTAATCATCTGGCAAGTTTTGGTTTGTTTGTATTCTTTCAGTTTTTAATGTGACAGTATTTTAGAGGTTGCATTTTCCTAGTGAAGAATTTCCTTACTGTGTCTTTCGCTTGCTGTTTCGTGTCTCTTCAGCTGGTTGAAGTGTGACCAGCTGGTTGTAATCAAAGACTTTTATCTTTTTATGGATATATTTTAACAATTTTTAACAATTGCCCTCATTTATTTCAAACTGCTAGGATATGACCTTGAAAATACTGGGAGTTCTTTTCTATCTTTTTACATATTACGGTTCAGCTGTCTGTTTTTTTCTTTGAAACTTCCTGTGTAACTCTGCCTTTCTGTGTATTGTACAGTGTGCTGTGTGCACACAGTGACTCTCCTGCCAGTTCCTCTCCCTGCTCCTCTTTTCCTGCTTCTCAATCAGGCACCATAGATCTCTTCATTTGAAGCATGTTAGCAACCAAAATCTAAGTCTTGTTTCTCTTGTCTTAAACTCAATTTTCTATTTCCTCTGCATTTTTTGTTCCACTCTTTACTTGCTCTTTACATTGAGAGCTTTCAGCTTTTAAAGCTTTTTTTGAGGTTTAGAAGATGACTTTTCCTGTCAAGTCTAGATGTATTTCAAGAGCTGTATAACTGACTAATTATTAGCGTTCCTGAAAATGCTCCATTTATGTGCAGTTTCAATTAATATATGCTTTATGTTCTTCTTCCCCAGATACTGAGCGAGTGATAGGATTTGCATCCGTGGACCTTTCTCCTCTTCTTTCCGGCTTCCAGCTCGTGTGCGGATGGTACAACATTATGGACTTCAGTGGTCAGTGCCGAGGGCAGATCAAAGTAGCAGTTTCTCCTCTTCAAAATATAAATAATCTCAAAGAAGAAAGGCAGGCAAGGATCCGGACCCAGCCAGCAAGTTCTTCAGTCCATACCTCAGTTTCCTCCCCTGTGCGTACCTGATTAGATTTTTAATAACCAGCACTGACTGGGGGTTTCTGAAGTAATGAGCAAGTGTAGCAAATTCACAGTAGTGTAACAGATCACTCTGTGTAAATATATCAGAAGCATTTAATTCCTTGTTTAAGAATTCTGCTCTATGTTTCTGTGGTACCTGCAGGCTAACACAGCACTCATTCAAACCTAGGTCATTACCATCTCCAGTGGCTTCACTTTGCTGTTGCTTCATGGGTGTCTGGGGTCTTTTTATTTTTAGGAGAATATTCTGTGTTTTGTGATGTCTGGGAGCCTGGCATTGTTCTGTTTGCTGCTTTGGGGGGCAGCTAATGCCCCAGCCATACTGTGAATTCAGCCTTTCATTGCTTAGGAAATTTCTAACTTGGCAGAAATCCCTTTTTCTGGACAATTTGCCATTTCCTGTGTGCGTTTTATTCTCTAGACTTTCCAGTTACTCTGGGGTGTGATATATATGTGTAATGGACCCCCTATACCCTACCTTCCATCACTCTTTGGTAGTGGCTGGGACAGGAATTAACAAATGTTTCTGAAATAAGACAGTTGTTAAACGGTGCTTTGGCTCAGTGCTTGAAAATCCTTTGAAAGTTTAAAGCTATTTAGAGAACTTAAGCTTTTGTTTACTAGCTCAGCAAGATAGTACTTTAATTTCCCTATTTTCTTGCTGTGGGAGGTTCATGTGCAGTATTCCTCTTTCTTCTAGGTGAAGGCCAGCTTTCCAATGCTTCCCAGTAATGCTCCAAGCTTTTCCAGGCCAATGATGAAAGCCTTGTCAAAGGAAGTCAGTGTTCCTACTCGAGAGCAGTAAGTCTGCTGGCTATCAGTCATTTTGATTGTTTTCAGGGCCCTTCTATGTTAGGATTTACACTATACCATTGTTAAAACTGACAGTTGTTTCTTCCAGGCCTTTGCAAGAATAAGTTTTGGGTCTTTTTTAATAAGTTAGAATAGAGTATCAGTGATATATTCACTTTATTTTGCCATACCTTGCGTCCATGTACAGCACATTCGAGGACTAGGACCATCAGATAGCCTGCAGTAATTCCTGCTTTCTGCCCCTTAGAACAACCACCAGTGTTTGTGTATTTAACTAGCAACATTTGAGAGAGCATGCTAATTTATGGTTTGTTTATTTAGCATATGTAGGAGATGATACTTGTCCTCTATGTGTTTTTGGAGTTTAGAGGGACCATGGGCCACCATTATTTGGTCTGAGCAGCTGGCGTGACAGCTCCCAGCAGCCATCGCTATTATCCAGTGCAGAGAGAGGGCAGATGCGGTTTACTTTATTGTAAATCTGAAACAGTAAATGCCATTTGAAAGAGCTACTTTTATCCATCGGTGGCTTTTTAATGCACTTAAAGATGTTGCCTATTCTCAGTTGGCAGACTTTTCACCGTCAGAGATTTCAGCCTGTTTTCTGTTGTTAAATGTAGGCCTGTTTCTAGCAGAATTAATCCCCCTGCGACACACACGCCTCGTCATGAAGAGCACATGCAGAACGTGCGCAGGTTTCATGAATCCCTGCAGCAAGCAGAAGGGAACACGCACCGGGCAGCAAAGATGGACTCACTATCGCTGTCATCACGTGCCTCTCTTCTAACTGCTCTCAGGTAAAGCAGAGCTGTAGCCAACAAAGTAAATCAAAGCCTTAGGTTTGCAAAGCAGAGCTTGAAAGTAAAGAATTCTTGCATTCAATTTTAAAGGAAATAAAAATGTACAATATCTGTTTAAGAGGTATCAGTGAGATAGTGTAATTTAGCAGGATGAGTCGAGATTGGAAAAGCAAGGACTAGGCAGGGAACTCAGCATCAGGACCAAGGTACTCGGCAATGGTGTGAGTTTCTGAAGGGAAACAGCAACAACAGTGTTTCCAAATCTGAACTGAATGCTTTGCTTCATCCATCTTTGTACAGCTGTAACACAACACATGCTATTAAGCCAGCAGTCCTCTGAGTTGGTTTCCCCAGATACAAGAACAAGCCTGTAAGCATTTTCATGGTCCACAGAGAAGGATGTCCCTTCCCAACAAGATGCCTTTCTCCTTGCTAGAAGCACTTTTCTCTTGACTAGATTCTAGGTTTAAATCAGGTATAAATTTATTGTCTAGGTGTATAGGACTGAAGGAAACTTTCTGAGTCATTCCATCCCTTCCCCTGCTAGCACGAGTAATTTATATCATAAAATCCTTTGATACTATGCAGGAAGAAATCCTTAGATTTTTATCAAACTCAGTCATAAGGGCAATTGCCTTTCTGACTTCTGTTGAAAGGTCATCTCAAATCCAGCTCTTTGATTAAGTAAGTTTAAACTGGCTCTTATTTTTAAACTTCCAGCCTAAATTTATTCATAACTGGTTCAGCATTTTTTCTTAAGTGTTGTCCTTTGGCTTAGACAGAGCAACCTCAACACTTACCTTCTGATCTGTTTTTCAGTATTAAACCTTAATCTTGTATTTGCGTATTTATACACTGTTGTCTGGAATTACACAAATAGAACCAGCTTGCCAGAGGTTTGGTGTTTTTTTTCTCTTACCAAATTTCTTACCACTCCTTCCAGAAAAAACTTGAGTGAGCTGGATGAGGTTCAAAGATACTTCAGTCAGAAGCTGGCCAGGTCATTTCCTGACTTCAGTTATGGAAACACATCCAAACCAAGCCATGAGGAGCAGGAAAGCGATCAGAAGGGCTTGATGAGCAGAGAAGTAGATCCCAATGCATGCCATCTTCTGGAAAAATCTAGTCAGTTGGTGTCTCAGGTCAGCAGCCTAATCAATGGTAAGTTGTCACTTGGTTTGGATTTTTTTGTTAGAAGCTGCTTTAAAGTATTTTGAAATTTTTTGTGTAATTGGGATCAGTTCCCAGCATTGGTAATTGGCATGCGTACCATTGGGAGAATGCTTGAACAAGACTTTCAAACCCCTGTCAGTAATTACAGTGTTGAACTGCAACATTCAGAAGGAATGAAGAAGATTAGGTGGGAGTTATGCCCCCCTAAAGATAGCTTAAATTCTACTTTTCTAATTTCCATGTCTGTTCGGTAGGAAAAGGGAGATCTTGCAGAAAAGCAATCCACAGAACGGTACTGAGCTGAATCTGTGGTTCTTTGCCAATAGGAACTGGCTTATCTCTATTTTCAGGTTAAATTTATGCCCTACACTGAATAGCTAAAATAAGGCTATTTTTTGATAGGTAAGACAAAGTTTTTAACAAGCAACAGCTTTTCTGTTTATTGCATTCAATACATTTCCTATTTTAGAGGCATCAGAGCAATTAATTTTCCGTATCATTACTGCTGTTGGACACAGAATGACATCCTTACTAAGGATGGAGTATGACACAACAGGGAAGGAAACCGTATCTCTTTGTACACCTTGTTTTCAGGTGTATGGTTTTCTCTCTGGCTCCTCATCTCAGCACTAGCCTGCTCATTAATTGCAGTTAATTTAATGTTAGCTTAACTGTTCCTGCCACTCCGATCTCATACCAGAGAGATGCTGTGAGTAGCAAAATGCCAAGGAAATCAAATCCACGCTGGGGCATTCAAAATAATTTATCGGAGTAGAGAATAAACTGCGGCTCAGAGCTCTGAGCATTGAAAAGTTGTTGTGTGCTGTTCCTGCCTACGGGGAAGCAGCACTTCCAAGAGGTGGAGTTGAAGGGCACATTTCTATTATACCAGAATTTGCCAATTTTATATCACTACCTTGATCTTTTTTTTTCATTTTCTTCCCAAGGTTTTGATATTTTTGTTCCTCTTCTCACCTTTACTAATTGTTTTTACTGCTTCTCTACATGCTTTCCTCTACAACCTGTCTCAAACTCTTCCTTCTTTCCCAGATGTTCTCCACCATTCCCTTATAGGAAGACTTTTTTTCTTGCCTCAGAGTTGCAGTAGTTTGCCATTCAGCCTAATACTGGTGAACTAATTTCTCAAAGAATGCAAGAAATTAATAGGATCTGCTAACTAGGACCAAAGATAGGCAGCTGGCTTTTTAAGGAATTTGTAAAATCCCCAGAGATTTTCAGGATTGCATAAATTTTATTAATGTTTAGGCTCCTCCTCCACTCACCCCTTTTTTTCAGAGCCTGTGTTAAGGGCAGAGGTAGCTCCTTGTTTTCAGACTTTACAGTTTTACCACCACAACTGAGCAATGGTCCCGAGTGAATTTCTGCTTGACAAATATTTAATTAACAATTGTCTGTCATTTGATTTGAGTTGCTAAATTGAACTGAAAGCTGGAGAATATCATTAGCAACTGTGTCTACTGGGTCCCTACATAAAACTGGGGAAGCAAGGAGAGGAAAAGGTGGTTACGTTGCCCATCATTCCTGTCCAGATTATTCCTCTCTCCTTCCCATGTGGCCCAAACTGTCCAGACTCTTTTTAGCAACTCCAAGTAACAGGTAATTTTTTCCATTTGCGTCAAGTGTACTCTGTATATCAGAGTGTTTGTGCTGTCCTTTTTTTTTTTCTTTACATTGATGCAGATATTTATAGTTATTTCCTAGTAATTCCATCCTGAACTTTTCCTTTTTTCCTTAGCATTTTTGTCCTTCTCCTGGCCTTGTCAATGGTAAAGAGAGCAGAACATGATCACATCAGCAAAGTGTTTGACAAAGCTGTGCATGTTTACTTCCTAACCATTCTTACTTCTATGACTTTCTACAAAAAGCCCAAATAAATCATATTAAGGGTGAATTGTTGCTCTGTGCATTTACTGATGCTGTTTTCTATTAATCATCAGACTTACAGACTATGACTAAAAGCAGTAATGAATCTTCTAATGTGCATCAAGACAGCAGCAGAAAGCTGGGTGCTACACAGGTACCCAACCAGAAGGATGAAGAAGCCAGAACTGAAGTATGTCCAGGCCAGCGTGAGTTGGACTCATGCAGCGTCTGCAGCGATGCACAGCAGCCGTGCTCCTCTGGGAGACCTGTGTTTGAGAGGCACATGTTGCGTGAATTTCTAGAGCAAGCTGTCCCTGAAGGTGAGCATCCTTCGCCAACGGACTGCATCCAGGAAAACAAAGGTGCTTTTGCCATCGAGCTGCACAGTGAAGAAGAATATGAAGAAGACATTATAGAACCGCGAACTCTTAACGAAATAACAACCATAACGGACAAAACGAGTCCCTGGTCCAGCATGCTGTCTGAAGTGGAGCAGGGTGCTGACCAGCAGCCCATACACATGGGGCCTGAAGATCAGCACTCGGTGGATACAGAGTGTTTGCAAAGAGGAGACAGCAGACAGAGCAGCACCTTCTCCAGCATACTCCAAGCTGACAACCAAAGCATGCTCACCGCCCTTAGCCCGTGCGTTAGCCTCCACGCAGACGAGGGCAGTCCTTGGGCAGTAACAGAAGGCTTTCAGAGCTTGAATAATAGCAAAGAAACAACTGGGAAGGAGCTCTTTCAGCCTGCTTGTTTGTCAGAAATGCATCAAACAGCCAATGACTCTGTAGAAAATGGAAACTGTGACTGGGATAGAGCATTTAACACTAAACCAGTAGACCAGAATGTAGAGTTTCATGCAGCCTCCAAAGAACTACTGGAATTTCCACCAGATGTTGGTTTGACCAATCCAAAAACCACAGAAAGAGAGAAGGAGGAAAATGGTGTAAATGAAGCTCGCCAAGACCAGGAAGGAAGTGGTTCTGATGAGATCTGTGTTAGGAGCGTATCAGCCCAAGCAGGCTCCGAAGGAAACCATGAAAGCTTTTCTGATGACAGTAGCGAGGACCTACTGGAAGAGTCAGAAAAGTCTGTCAAACCAGAAATTCTTTTGTATCCTTTTTCCGTAAACACACGTTGCATTCAAGGAGCGTGTCCTGTTTCTTGGTTAGAACCTCTCTTGCCTCAGGAAAGAGAAATTCCCTGTGTGGAGCTCTTTCCTGGGAATTGGTCTGGAATTGGTGACCTGGGAAGGTGTTGGAAGACCCTGTTGTTACATTGTGTTTCACACAATGTAATGATGACTTCCTTGCCATTTGTAACCAATTCTGTGATCCACGAGAGGTATTTCATTTTGGGTAGTTTCAATGTGTTTCCTTGCATTTTTCCCCCATGTTGCTTTCCTCCATGCATTATAGCTCTTGTGTTTCTTCTGTATTGAAAGAAACATAGTTTAATTTGCTTCACCCCTTTTCTTGCACAGGCCACACATCTTTCATTCAGTTTCACTAAGTCATGTTGGAATTTTTGCGGGATGAAATTCTCCACAAATACATAAGGTATTACTGTAAAGCAAATGAGTGTTTCATGCTCTGTGAGGCCAGGTGGGAGAACAGTGTGTTCAGAACCATAGAATATTGATTAAAATAAATGAGATTCACCACCTGGGATCCTTTAACAGCTCATTCCACATCTGCAGCTCCTGTGGAGCTTTGTGCAGCTACACCCTGCCAAATGTTGTTCCTTAATAGTCCTGCTGAGATCTGGTCCTGTTGTTCCCAACTTCTTCCTTCCGCCCCAGCAGATGGAAGCCTCCATGAGACTGCTCGGCATTTCTTCTCATCCTTCCACAGCTCTGAAAGTAAGTAAGGGACATCCTTTTCTTTATTGTCCCAGCTTAACTGAGTCCCTTCGTTAAAGCAGGAGCAAAAGTATTTCTCCCTCTTTTTACCTGTCAGCACTCAGCTTAGTGGTGATGGCTTCCAAACCAAGTCAAGGAGAATCCTCTTCTCCCTGTGAGAATTATTTCCAGCATTCATGGTGGCATCATCTATGACATTTATGTTAACCAGTTTGTCTGTATACAGTAGTGAATGTTGCCCTTCTCCATTGGGGTCAGTGAAAGTGGACAATGCTCACACATTTTTTGTGCTTTAATGTGAGGTAAGATACCTAATTTTGAGGATCCAAGCTGTAACTTGTAATTAGGACTCCAGTTTCTATCTTTTAGATGGGGATGAAATCAGGAAGTTTGCAGCAGAGCCTCTCCCTGAGAGGTACTATTGTGGTTTAACCCGGCAGTCAGCTAAACACCACACAGTTGCTCACTCACATCCCCCCTACCTCCCCAGCGGGGTGGGGGAGAGAATTGGAGTGAAAAAAAGTTGGAACACTCATGGGTTGACATAGGAGCAGTTTAATGGTTGAAATAAAACTGAAATAATAGTAATAAGAACAACAATAATAAACCACATAAAGTTATACTCAGCTCATACAGCATTTGCTGTCTGTGCACTTCCAGCAGTGAATATTAAGCTTGATAATAAACACTGCAAGCACAACAGCTCCAGGGAAAATGTCACCAGTGAGGGAGCAGAACAACAGATGAGGCCCTCTGGGGCTGAGAACCATCGAGGAAAGAGAGAGCGCCAGCTTGAATAGCTGCCCTGGCTTTCGCTCCCCCCAGCTTCTGCACGTGGCTAATTCAGAACTGCTACAGACCTTGAGCACTGCATACCAGAGCCGGCCAAAAGCAAACCCAAAGTGTCTTTTCAACTTTGTTCCCACTAAATGAAGGGCTGCAGTCTTTACAGAAATGCAGCTTTCCTGAATAGAAAACTGATGCTGTGATTCTGTCCCAGTGAAGCCAGGACAGGTGTCGAGTAACTGTTCTTTGATGGAAGGAATGGTAGGCTCGGTGGAGTGCTCATTACTTGTACAGGAAAGCTGTTGATTGCTTCTGCTGTTTCACAGGTGGTTTTATGTGCGTAAACATTTGTTTACTGCAAGAGGTTCCTGGCTCCGTTATTTTGAGGTGTAAACATTCTTCTTTGCCAGCCACAGCTTAGCTATGGATGTTGATGTGGATCTGGGTACTGCAAGCAGCGGGGCTGTTTGTTTACCACTCTCAGAAAAGATAACCCCGTGGTTCCCCTCATTACGACCTACAAATCAAGTGCTCTGAGGAACATTTATGTAATTGGAAACAGCTTGCTTGATTAAGCAGCACAGGAACAGGCAGGATCTAATAGCTCTGAAGTAATGGAAACTACTTGCAATTAATAAATCTGTTTACAGCTCAGGTAAAATGCCTTAATTTTCACTGCTTTGGGTCATAAAAATTACTTTTGTTCTGATTTACGTAACATATTCTTTTCCTCAAGCCTCTCAAACGTGTTCCTGATGAAAATACAGACCTCTTGGACAGATCCTCTTCACGGATCTTAAGACATCTCTTGATTATAACTGCAGTGTGTCCTTGTGCTTGTTAGACATACTTTTCATGCTGTGTCTAAATATTTTGGATGAAATCAGAAGCAGGATCTCAGCTGTGTTTCTCCTTTGGAATCTCCTCCAAATTCTCCATGTTCCCTTCTGTCTTATCGCCCATACTCCCTTCCACTCTGTCTCAATATCATGCCTCCTCTCTAAGTTTTGCTTTCTGTGCAGAGTTAGCTCCTGTTCCTCCCGTGGAAGCACCATGTCTTTCTGTGCATCTGCAAATCATCGCTCAAACCTACAGTTTAATATTAATATCAGCTTTTCTTCAAATCCTCTCTGCAGTGGCTGGAAACACACTCCTGAAAGTAATTAATAATTAGGGAGAATATGAGCAAAGCACTATTTGGACATAGCTGACTTAAAACCAGCTTAATTCCAGGATTAGCTACAGCTCATCTTTCATAGGAGCACTGTTGAGACAGGACTGTGTTGTGCACCCAGCATCAAACACTGAGTGAAGGCAAGATGTTGAAGAACATGATGTCTTGAAGAACAAGATGTTTTTCACTTATGGGGATGGTAAACTGTAGTTCAGGAAAACTGCTTTCTCATAGTTTTGTTCTTAATTCGCCTTAAGGACATTGGTTTCTAAATTTGGTTTGGTTTGGTTTCTGCACAGTTCAGCAAACACCGACTGTGACAGCCGGGCTGAAATCCAAGCTGTGCTCTAAGGATCAGCGGTGCCCTCTCGCTCACGCGGCAGCTGGCAAACCTCTCCTGGCTCCCAAGTGTTCCTGCCACCCCTCCCCATCTTGTCTGACTCCCTGCTTGCCCTCTGCTTCCCACACGAAATGGTGAAGAAACAGCAAGAAGGTGAAGCGGGCAGTCACGTCAAAGGTCCTGGCAGTATTTTGAGACAAAAGTATCATCTCACGCTGTGAGGATGTGGAAATCTGAGAGGGAGCTGCAGCAGCTCAGACCTCAGTCTGGGTGCTCTCATCACCTTTCAGGACCTGAGTTGTACAGAGCATCTCTCTACAATGACCTGAAAGGAGGGTGTAGCAAGGTGTGGATTGGTCTCTGCTCCCAAGTAACAAGTGATAGGATGAGAGGAAATGGCCTCAAGTTGCACCAGGGGAGGTTTAGGTTGGATAATAGGAAAAATTTCTTCACTAAAAGAGTTGTCAACCCTGGGAACAGGCTGCCCAGGGAAGTGGTGGAGTCACCATCCCTGGAGGTGTTCAAAAAATGTGTAAGTGTGGCACTTGGGGACATGGTTTAGTGGGCATGGTGGTGGTGGGTTGACGGTTGGACTTGATCTTAGAGGTCTTTTCCAACCTTAATGATTCTGTGAAATCTGTTTGTTGTTTTTTTTACCTTTTTCCTCTATTATATCAAACTCAGGCTTCCAGTTCTTGAGGTCCTTCCTGGTTCTCTTCTTGCACGCTGGTCACCTCTTGTCCTGTTAGGTTCTGCCACCGTTCAATTTCAGTGAGGAGCTTTGCACTTTTCTCCTCTCAGCCAGGCAGTTCCTGATACAACTTGGAGAAAATTATCCAAGTTCATGGCTGAATTTAACAGTGTCCAACACTGTATCCTATTTACCATAAAGCTACAACTATTTTTTAATGATGCCAGAAGAAAAGGTGGCCAGATTCTTCATATCCCTTTTGAAGTTGCTGTCCATGATTTGATGTAAACCTTCTCCTGTCCAGAAAGCAGAAGTAGGTGCAAGGTCAGTGCCGGGGTAGGTCATAGCCTATTAACACAGATCTGTTTTCACTCCTTCGTCATTGTGGCACAAACAAAATGAGCCAATAAACTTGCTGAGCCCCAGGGCCAAGACATTCTCCTCATCAGTTACCGGAATTCTTTGACCTTGAAATAAGCCACCCACCCCCTCCAAGACCTATAAAATGCCTATAAATCTGTTTGCTTTACTCCAGTGCCTGGCACACAGCAATTAGATAATCCTCAGCTGGTTTAAGTGTCCTGCTGTCTCGCTGCCATTTCTATAAAAAGAGAAGTGAAGCGTGATCTTCTGCACCCAAGTCCTCTTTCCTCTTGCATCGTTCTGGTTAGACATGTGGACTTTGTGGCTGAGCAACGGATATGCAGAGTCTGGGACTTTGTTACCTTAGAAACAGAGAGGGAGAAACCCAGGGCTTGTGCTCAGGTCGGAGCCGGAACTGGGAAAGCCTGTTTTGGAGGTGAACTACACTGAGGGTTAAAACTCGGGCTGATGTGTCAAAGGAACATCTTAAAAATGCAGCACTGAGGCTAGAGTATCTTGCTACGTGTTATATGTGCAGGGAATTTCAGTATTTCAAAGAAAAGCAGCTGTATACAGAGACATGTACAGAGGTATAGATTATCACTCGCTGGGTAAGGAATTGGCTGGGTGGTGGCACTCAAAGGGTTGCGGTTAATGGCTCGATGTCCAGGTGGACACCAGTGATGAGTGGAGTTCCTCAGGGGTCAGTACTGTGGACACAGCAGTATGAAAGTTGGAGGAGGAGTGTTTTAGCCGCTTCTAGCTGAAACAGCATGCGAGGGTATGTTTTACAAGCACACCTCACCGACTGACAGTCGGGAGCATACAGACTGCTGGCCATCTCCTCGGTGTCATCTAATAGCAGCAGATGCCAGCTCTTCTGTTGTATTTTCATTTTCAGAAGTGCTCTTTTGGGGTGTGTAATTGCACTGATAGCAAAATGTGAGCAAGGAGCAGCGTTTTCTGCACCCTCTGGCTAACCAGAGCAGATCAGGAACAACTCAATTTGTGACGTGCCCCTGGTGTCATCAGAGGCAGCAGAAGGGCTGTGGCACGTCTGGATTGTCAACTCTAGGGAGAAAATCTCATTTAATTTCTCCTTTAGAATAATTTTTTAGAATTCTTACAGCCAGGGTAAGACAGTTTTACAGTTGGTTTGGGCCATTGGCTTAGTGTAAGCCAAAAAATAAGAAAAAAGTCCTTTCTGCAGAAATGCTGAGCTGTGCTGCTCGCTCTGGTGGAGCTGGGACTCTCAAGGCCATTTTGTTCTCTTTTCCTTTATCTTACCCACACGCTGGGGTCCCTTCTCTTCCAAGTTGCAGGATTTGCAGCTGCTCCCATTGAAATCCATCCCCTTGGGTCAGTGAAAGCCACCTGTGTTTATTCCTTACCTTCAAAATGGAAGTTGCTGCCTCTCAGTTCCTTGCTGTGCGTGAAGACGTGCACAAGAAGGGAATTGTGAGAGCTAGGATGTGCAGTTTCATGACCTTTTGAAATAGGGTTAATGGGATCATTTGGGAATTTGATAGAGTTGCCATTGCTATGGTGTAAACCTTCTTCTGTTTCACTATTACATTTGGTTCCTGCAAGCTTTTCACGTGCACAGAGTTGCGCAGCCGATCTTTTTTAGGTACATTTGTGGCATGGCCTCCTCCGGGGTAGAGCAGAGGACAACTCGCGCTCGTCAGAGGACGGACAGCAGCACCACAGCTGGCAGAAAGGAAAGCAGAGTCTCTGAACCACAGCACCAGCACAGAGAAACGGCTTGGGGTTGTTTAGCTGCAATTTGGCCAGCACTTTGGATTTAAGAGCCAGAATTTCCTTGGTTTTTTGGTTCTGTTACACCTACACACCTTCTTGGACCGAGGAACAGGGCAGTCCATATCAGTTCTTTGCAAATACATAAAACCGGTGTTCAGAAGCGAACGCTGCTCGATGCACTAAAACCAGAAGCCCTTTTCCAGTCCTCTGAGTTTTCTCTGTGAACTGCTTACGAGTGCTGCACAGAGATCAGGGACCAGCACCGCGTCAGTGTGGGCTGGTTTCTGTCCATCTCCAGTCGATATGAACGTTGCAGCTGATGGTTGGCACAGGAAGCAGCGTGGAAAGAAGGAACCACTGACCCGGTCTTCTCTGGACAGCCTTGAGCAGCAGACGGTGTCAGGGGGAGGTGATTTGGCCAGGAAGCCTCTCTCTCTGCTGGTTTTTAAGCTTCAGATGTTGCCAGGTCTGCATTTAATCTCTCTCAGCTTCTTTTACATTTTGATTTTGGAAAAATCATCCTAGAGTGGCATTAAGGAGAAAGAAAAACCAAGCAAGGATTCTCATAAATCACACATATGTTTTCTCAGTACGATCAAAATGGGCAGTGTTATGAAGTATTATAATCCGTAGCTCTTTTCCTGGATACAGTTTGAAGTTTCTTCCACAAGTCTTTTCACAATTAGCCACATGAATTTAGGATTTATTCCATGAATATAGGAATTTATAGTTAGCTTGTCATGAGCCTTTTCAGCACAGTTGGACATGAAAATATGCGAGCTGTTCCCACCTTTGTCATCCTTTTTATTAACCAAGCAGCCAGCGACCAAATCCATCATCTCCGTGAGCGTTGATCTGTCCGTCTCCCAAATCTGGCTGTGTTAGAGCTTGACAGGGTCAGTGTATCTGAAAATCATCCTCTAGGAAATCTTGGCCTGTGGTTACAGCCTGTCTCGGTCTCATCTGCTTGCAGAAATTGTAGCTGATGTTAAATTAGTTTGTAATTACCTTCTTGTGCTTTGCCCTGGCTCTAGCAAGCACAGATACACCCGGATGTGTAGGTCAGGGGTTATTTTTTTATCTGCAGACTGTTTTCCCATCAGGGACTTCACCAGTGCTGCTGTCGCAGGGCTGACGCTTGATGTGCTCCTCATCTGAGCCCGTAAAGCACAGGGAACCAAACACAAGAAGTCTCCAAACCGACTTTCTCCTAAAAAAGCCATTTCCCTCCCCGAATAGCACACACCAAAGCGGGAAGCAGACAGAAACAGGATCCCGGTGCCATTTCTCTTGAAGGGAGCCAGTCACCTTAGAAGACCTTTCCACCACGACCGTGTCCAGCCAGGATGGAGAAGCAGCCCCAAGATGCAGGCAAAAGGCCAGGCCGATGTCTCAGCTTTCACATCAACCCTGGTGACAGGAAACCTTCCCGGCCCCGCAGCTGGGGAATGGCGCGTCCTAAAATGGCACCTCTTGCTTCAGCCTCTAAAGGCAGCTGAAGCCGGATCTCTGCTCCCTCACAGAATCACAAAATCATTCAGGTTGGAAGAGACCTCTGAGATCGTCACGTCCAACCGTCAGCCCAACAGCCCTGTGTCCACTAAACCACATCCCCAAGTGCCACATCCATGCACTTTTGAACACCTCCAGGGATGGTGACTCCACCACCTCCCTGGGCAGCCCCTTCTGGTGCTTGACCACTCTTTCAGTAAAGAAACTTTTCCTCATATCCAATCTAAACCTCCCCTGGCACAACTTGAGGCCACTGACTGCTTCACGGCTCTAAATGAGTTGGGGAGAAAGGCGAGTTTCTTTGTACACTGAAATTGTCTTTAGTGGTACTGTGTGTCTGGGAGGAAGCCTGACTGCTGGGAGGGTGCATGCAAAGCAAGGGGGATGTTAAAATGCTTTAAAAGGTGTTTTTTGTCTTGAAGGCTGCTGCTTGGGGGTCCATGTGGGCAACTGAGCCCGGCTTGGATTTGCCGTGTAGGAGCCTTGGCTCTCCACTGCAAGATGATTTGGGTTTAGATACATCCACCATCCTTGAACGCATTTAAAAGCCGTCTAGATGTGGTGCTCAGGGACGTGGTTTAGAAATGGGCATGGCAGAGTCAGGTAACGATCGGGCTTGATGATCTTAAAGGTCTTTTCCAACCATAACGATTCTATGATTTTAGGGTTCTGCAAATTATAAATAATAACTGAAAAGCAAAAATGAGAGAGTCAGAGCTTCATGAATCCACTGGTGTAATTCCTTTGGCTTCAAAGAAGATTGCTTTGGCTGAGGGTAGATGTTCACGAATTCAGAGTTCTCTTGCCAGAGCCAGGCTGTGTGGTTTGCAGCTTTCTAATTTTGGTCTTTAGCTTTTGTTTCCTGCAGCGTTGAGAAAGAAGAGCACTGCAGCACCCAATATTGTATTGGGCAGGGAAATATTTCATCAGCACGTTGGGTTTTTTCCCAACACAAGTCTTTTTCCAAGCAGTTGCCTCTCAGTGTCTGGAATAAGAGGAAAACCCCTCCGAGGAGAACCAGGGAGCACCAGAACACACATCATGAGGGGTTTTTCTTCCGTGTATCCAACTTCTCGCGTGCGGCACTCAGAAAACAGCCATGGGACAGAGCTGTCAGGGCTCTCATGTCTTGTTTCTTCTCCGCAGAGCAGCAGCGGAGGGATCCCGTACCGGAGGTGGACTTGTCCCAGGCCCACGGCCGATCTCACGGAGGAGGAAACCAAAAGGATCGCCCGGATCTTCTCTGCACAGCTGCCCAAGAAGGAATAGCGTTGGCGAGGGGCTGCTGCAGCGGCTGCTTTTGGGAAGCCACGGCCTGAGGCGTCAGCACACACCTGGTTCTCCAGGGGAGAGGAGGTGGAAGCCATAGGTTTCGGGCTCTGGTTTGTAATTTGCCTAATTGGTGTCTCATTAGAGGGACTTAAAGCCTGGTGGTCAACCAAGGGGAGCTGACAGACCACGTGTCTTGCAAGGGCAGGACCCCAGTGAGACTCACTGCTTCAGGCTGTTACCTGGTCTCCAAATTCTCCATTTTGGGGTTTTATTCATGTGAGATTTCTCTAATTAACCTTTTTTTTTTTTGAGAAAACACAAAGCATCCCATTTTGAGACATCTCCTTCAACCAAAGGATGGAAAACACAAGAACTGTTGCCTCCCTGCTGGTGTTTGCTGTAGATGGTGAGGGAAGATCAGCTCCCTTCCCAGTGGCCTTTCCAAAATAGTTGGTGGGAAGCATAATTTGCTGATTCTGGAGGAATTCACGTGCCCAGGGTGCTTGTGTAAATACAGGCCAGGGATTCTGTAAAATACTGACGTGTGTACAAAACGGTTTTACTAGAAAAATGAACATTTTCTATTTTAAATTATTTTTTGTACATTTTTATGTGAAGTACCTTTCAGATCATGAACTTTGATACAAACAGAGATGTTTTTGTATTGCTCTCCAGTGTTTGTGTTTCAATAAAATCCCCTGGTTCCTCATCATCTGGTGCAAAGCGTCCCAGGTTTGTTGTTAGGAGGTGGATGTGTCTCTCCCCGAGAGCCTCCAGTGGCAGCAGCAGACGACGTCGCAGAAATGGTTCCTGGGAGACGATGTGACCGCAGGCACCTGTAGAGATCACTGCTTTGCAAAGGAACTGGGCCTTGGGAGTGAGCGAGTGCTCCAAATCAGAGCTCCTTTTCAAACTCTGCTTTGAATTTAGGATTTAAGGAAGGAACTGAAGTAGCAGCATCTCTTTTTTTTCTCCCACCTCATTGGTTTTGTTTTTCACAGGGACTTTCTAAATGTGTCGTTCACTGCTAACACGACTTGGCCTGGCCATAAAATCGGGTCTGCCCTGCCCACATGCTGCACTCACAGCCTCCTCAGCTCCCATCCTCTGCTCTGAAACGCTTCCCCTTTCCCTGCCCTTGCTAGGTGAGGGTTGGGAGGTGGCGGTGCCAAATGTCCCCATCCCAATCTTCCCCTTGATGTGAGGGCTCCCGTCTCCTGCTGCTGCTCCTGGTGGCACCCCCAAAAAACTCAGGACAGATGCAGGCTGCAGTGGGAGCACAGTGACAGAGGAGGTGACAATTTTGACTCCTGGATTAGTCCTGAGTATGAGGTAAATGCCTTCGTCCTCTTGCATTTAAGGAGTATGGTTCAGCCAACAGCAAAATGGAGAGGGGTGTCAGCACCAGGCGAGCTTCTGCCTGGAGCCCCATCGATGGGGAAAAGGTGGCTTCAGGGTGTCAAAGCAGCTCCAAATCCCTCTTGGAAGAGCAGAGGCTTTCTGCAAACTGACAGGGGTGTGTAAGCAGCACCAGCCCGTCTCTTTGCGTGTTGTGCATGTAGTGCTGAACAGCTCAAAGGGTTAAACAGGCTGAGTTTTAAGGAAATGGAAGAAAAAGGGCATTTCTCGAACCGTCACCCAGCCTTGGCCTCCAGCCCTGAGCCCCATCCCTCCTGCAGCGCCTTTGCCTCGGCTCAGCCCCAGCGTATGGCCACACTCGGAAGGACCTTGAGGTTTCCCTCACATGGAGCACAAACACAAGCAGGGATTTACCTCCAAGCCCTCCACGTGGCCCCTGCCTCCGGGCTGCTCCACGTGCACTGGGGGCACACGTTACCAGAGGAAATTCATCAGTAAACAAGCTCGGCAGCTGCCCGGGATGGATTACGGCTCCATGGTCCTTGCCGGGCCAAAGGGGCTCACTCGATCTGCCCCGCACAGGGAGCACTCGGTGCTGCTCAGCCTCCAAACCACCTTGAGTGAGCAGTTTCTGCGTCTCATCCTTCCCAGAGCTTATTTGGGTTAAAAGAACCCAAAATTAACTCCCCTGTCTCTGAGGTCCCAGTGGCCACATCCACATTGTTGGGTGTTGCAGAGGGATGAAACACAGCCACCATGTCATGGGTACGAGGTGGCCCTGCTCTCATCGGCTCAAATGCCACCAGGGGAACAAACGGGCTTGCGCTGTCACCCGATCCCCCTGGCGCTGGAATGTTCTCCCGGGTGCTATATAAGGGGGGGCCAAAGGAACCGGTGCTCAGAGCGATGGCTGCAAGGACAGGAGTGTAAGGCAGGAGCCAGGACGCAGTGTCAAGGTCCCTACGGTGAGGACATGGGAGACCCAGCCCCAGGGAGGGTCACCCTGGGGGAGAAGCTCACAACCAGCACCCTCTGTTTTGGCCTGGGTGGGACAGGGCAGGGTGGACACTGATGAATCCCAGGCTGGCCCCATGCTGAGTGAGGAAGCCCCACGCCTCAGTTTCCCTGGGGATGCAAGTGAGGAAACGTGGCAGCATTTGACATTTGGGGTTGTCTGAAGCCAGCCAGAGACACCACGGCGCATTGTCACCTCTGTCCCTAAACCAGACACCTGCTGAAGCCCCATCTGATGCAACATCCCGACTCCCCTCCAATTTCCTTCCAGCCTCTCTGCCACGATGGTGGGTCTGAAGCCCCCCGAGGTTCCCCCCACAACTGCAGTGAAGTTCGTCAGCGCTGGGATGGCCGCCTGCATCGCTGACCTCTGCACCTTCCCCCTGGACACTGCCAAAGTGCGGCTGCAGGTACAATCTGCCAACCCCCCAAAACCCCGCACACGTAGAGTGGGGTCCCCTCGTGCCGGCTCAACCCCAAAGCTGGCGGCATTTTGGAGGAAGCAGACAGCAGGGTGACACAGTCGACATCTTGCAGATCCAAGGCGAGGTGCGGATCCCCCGAAGCATCGGCACCATGGAGTACCGGGGTGTTTTGGGGACGCTGAGCACC